CAGAGGGAAAATGCCTCTGTGTGCTGATCATCCAGTCTGGCAAGCACCTACGCAGACAGGAATGTGCACCCAAAGCAGGACACCCAGGGAAGGAAGGGCAGGGGCAGGCAGCACCTCCTCTGCACAGGGGCACCGAGTCACGCACACCCACACAGGGCCAGAGTCACACCAGCACACACAGTCGCACACACCCACCTATGTGCAGCTGCACATGCAGGCTCACACAGGCATATATACAGTCTCTCCCTTGCACACACAGTCACATGTGCACATTCTCATACGGAATCACCCCCACACGCAGAGTCACACAAGAGCACATACAGTCACACACACACGTAGAGGCACAGATACATGTGCAGGTTGATGGGAGCACATACACAGTCACAAATGATTGCACACCAGAATAATCCAACCAAAACCACCCTTGTTCTGGAAGCGGGTGCCAGGTGAACCTATTCACCAGAGCTGTGGCTGCAGTCTGATGGGATGTGGCCCATCCTTTGCCGACACAGAAACGGACCCAAACATGGGACTGAGCTTCAGCCTCACTCAGCCCAAAGCTGGCCAGAGCCTCGAGCCTGCCTCTGCCAGCTGGCCGGCCAGTGCAAGCCCTCTGCAAGCAAGCGGTTGACTGGGTGCTGCGAGCTCCTGGGCAGACACTGGCCACGGCATGAGGCTGGCTCTCCCTGCTCACCCAGGAGCATGAGAGGTTTCCATCCTGGGGCTGTTTCAGCTGGAGGCACGGACAACCCACTCCACACACTGCGAACGATGCCAGCAGCCACCACAGCTCCAGTGCCTGCATGGTCCCAGGCATGGCCTCAGGGAGGGACAGGCTCGGTCTCTGCCCAGCTGGGGAGCAGGGGACAGCTGCGGGAGGGTGGCTGCAGCTCCCCGCCCCAGCCAAGGGACTCAGCCAGAGCAAAGGCAGACTGAAGAAGCCTAGATCCGTGGAGACCTCCATGGCTGCTGGGACCACGGGCAGGGCAGTCCATGAGCTGTTGTGCTGGGCACCTGCCAGAAGAAGGTGATGGCAGAGAGTCCAGAAGCCTCACCGTGCCTCTGCACCCTCCACAGCCATCACTTGCCCAAGCTCCAGTCAGAGACATGCCCCATGTCTCGCACTGGGGCTGGTCACTGTGCCCCAGCCCCTGCTACCCCACCTGAGCTCCCGGGGCTGGGGCTGCCGTGACACTGTGGTGCAGTGGTCGGATGTCTGTATTTCAGCTGTGCTCCTGTATTTCAGCAAAGGGCAGGGCCACCATGTCATTCCCAGGGGCGGGGAAGGGAAGGATTTAAATTGGGTGCTTGCCTCGGCTGCTCATCCTGTCTGAGAGGCAGCGGGAAGAGAAGGAGGACCAGAGCTTGCCAGGGAGCCAGCTGCTCTGGATACGTGTCCAGCAGGTAGGACAGAGCCCACCTGGAGGGGGCACCGGGGCAACCACACAGCCCCTTTTTGGCATGGCACCCTGCGTGCAAATACCAGGGGCCTGCAAGGGATGCGGGGACCTTGCCTCTACCCCAAAACCTAGTGTTTGGAGGGCAGCTGCTGAGGCCCAGGGGATTGGTGAGCAGGAGGTCTCCAGGCAGGACTCAGTCCTTTCCAAGAAGGTAAAAAGTGACAGCGTGGCACTGGGATGGATGGAGCTGCTGCTCCATGAGATGCACTTTGTGTTCTCATCACTTCATCTGAGCAGATCGGGACATTGGGATATGGGAGGGAAGCAATCAGAGCTGTGGGACCTGCCTGAGCCTACAGGCATCCGAGACACGAGGCTGCCGACTCGCGCAGTTTGTCTCGGCTGGGAGCCCAGCGGCAGGAGTCTGCGAGGTGAGCGCCAGGCTGGGGGGGCTGACGTGATTTCACTCCTCAGGGTGCAGGCAGGGCTTGGGACCACAGCACCACCAGGACACCCCTGCTCACTCCAGCTGGAAAACCGCTTCCACTGGGGCCTCTTGAGCTGGGCTGCTGTGACAGCTTGAAAGGACAGCCAGCTCCTGCCCCAGGAGCTGCGTGTGCAGCCAAGCCCCAGCATCAGGAGGTCTGATTAGAGACCAGCTAATGATAGCTTGCAGTTGGGCAATGTCTTTCCAGTATAGGGTGTTTACACGACATCCATGTCCTACATAGGTGTCACCTGGTCCAGGGTGTGACACAGCACTCCGCTTTGTCCTGGACCAAGTGCAACCCCAGCAGGCAGCACAACCAGCCCATCGCCTCCTGGGAGGTTTCAGCTGCATCAGGCAGGGGAGGGCAGAGAAGCTGCTCTCTAGGGCTGGAGCCACAAGGTGGACCAGAGTGGCTGGCTGTAAAAGAGCCTGAAGCCATGGGCAGGGTCCCCAAAGAGGCAGGGGCTGGTCTGTAACTGCTGGGTTACACCTCTCCCCTACTGTGATCCATCTACACCAGCATCAATCCAATATTTAAATGGATGAAAAGCAATGACTCAGAGACTTTTAGACCAGTTAGGTAAACAGTCATAGAATTAAGCTGTGACCCTGATAATGAGTTAAACATATCATTAATGACAGTCACTGTAGTTTATGGGAGATGGGTGTTCCCAAAGAAATGTTTTGGGTTTTGTTTTTGTTGTTTTTACGAGACTGTGGCCTCATCGCTACACGTTGTTGTGGATGCTGAAAGTTTACAGGGTTTCCAGAAGAGACCAGGTGACTGCATGGGAGACATCCCTTGAGGATTACTGCACACACCCAAAATCCCTCCAGCTCATGAAATCCACTGATTTCATGTCAACCTAGTCAGAGGTTGACATAGAAACCAGGGAAATGTTACACACGTTGCCCCATTCTTCATCCTTCCCCTGTTGTCCACTTATAGCTCAAGGTGGAAACAAGACTCTGGGCTACACAAACCCTTAGCCTGACTCTGCATGGCTGTTCTGATGTCTGCTTGAGAGCACAGCTGCCTTCCTCTGAAACACTTCAGATGGCACAACTGGCGTCTTGGTTAAGGGTGCTGCATTTTTATGGGTGAGGGGACGAGGGTACCCACTGGATTGACTGTGACTGGTCACATTAATTGCAAAGTACATGCATGAATGGGAGAGACCACTGCAAGCAGCCACTTACAGCAGGCTCCCTGAGGTACCTGCTCTTAGTCCCTCACTACTGTCTAAGTTTTATTTTTTTATATATATATATATTTATCTACCATTTTACCTACATAACAATTAGCTAATAACAAAGACTGACCATTCATGACCTCTCACGGCACAGGAGCTAGAAGCTCCCAGTGAAAATACTTCCCCTGCAAAGTGTGATTAAATCACAGGCCTTATTGCCACAGGATGTTGTAGAGGCTGACACCAGACCCAGACTCGCAGACGTAACCGCAGAGGTCCGTGGAGCCTGTGGGGGCTATAGACAACAGCCCAGGACAAGCCCGGCCCAGGACGTCCGGAGGGCTGTGTGCCAGAGGGCTCGGCCAGAGGGAGCATCTCTCTCTATCATCCTGTTCCTAGAGCAGTTTCCCGAAATATCTGGAGAGAGCACCATGGCCTTGCTGCAGAGAGAGCACTCAGTCAGACAAACCCTCCCATTGACTCTGCCCTTGTCCCCAGTTGCTGGAACTGGTTAGAATGGTCCCCAGGATGGTGTCTGGCACCAGCCAACTAGCCCTCCCACAGACAATGCCCGTGCGCAGTTCAGAAGTCAGCATGGGCCAGGACCACTGCCAGCACGCCTGTGGAAGCAGACCCCAGTTTTGGAGGACAGGAGAGAGTAACAGGATGGGGGCTGGGAGCTCTGCCAACCCAGTGGCCTTAGAACAAGCAGAGACCTAGGCACATCTCAACTTCAGCAGAGGCACAGCCTTAGCGAAGGTCTCTGCCAGCTCGGACCCACTGCTGCATGTGGATCTTACCAGCCACTCAGCTGTCGCTAAGGCCATTCCCATGTCCTGTGTCATGCCAGGGTGGTGTGGGATCACACAGCAAGAAAGATCTCCACAGACAGTCATGAGCTAGGCTGCGCCTGCCACCCTGCTCAGTGCTGGCGGTGTCCCACCACACTCATTGCCTGCCCGTGACCAGTATGAAGCCAGGCAGCATGATGATCTAAGTGGACAAGAGCAGAAGATGACTTCCAGCAATAGCCAGCACCTCTCTGCAGCTGGATAGTCGCTGGTGGCAGTCACATCAGGAAGTCACTGCTGCTTCTTGGCATGACCTGTGCTTGTCAAATGACCACCAGCTAAATCTGCCAACCCCAGGGCAGCACAGGAGCCAGTACTGAGGGAACAGGGAGGTGAGCAGTGGCCATGCTTCCTGCTGGCACCCTATGGCATCAGCCCAAAAATGAGCAGTGGTTGTGTCACCCAGGCCACGGGTTTGAGGCAGTGTCAGGCACTGGGAGAGCAGGTAGCTCCTTGGGGGCCCAGAGTGGGGCCAAGTTACCCATGCTGCTGATATGCTTCTTTGCGGAGTGTATGTCTCCCAGTAAACCTGCCACTCTGTGACATGGCCCTCAAACCTCTCTGCCTGCAGGTGCCTGAGGTGCTGGTCAGCTCCGCTTCCCTTGTCTGCTCCCCTTCACAGCACTATCTCTTTTCCTGCCCTGACTGCAGGAGCTCTTTGGCACTGGTCACGACAGTGCTGCATCTCTGTGCCAAGACTACCAGCTGCACAGAGATGTGTAGAGCCTGCCACTGCAGCTGGGAGGTGCACAGCAAGCTGAACAGACAAACACACTGGCCGGGCTGCCACTGCTGCTTCCAGAGAGCTCTCATCTGCTGTTTGAGAGGGAGCTGGACAAGGGGCACTCTTGGCCCTGAGATTGCTGCTGAGAGAGAAGGATGGCAGCAAAGCCCCACATCCCACTCCCTGCTTCTCTCTGGGCTCCTGCTACCACATGCAGGGAGATGGCTTTCTTCACACACACCATGAAAACTGCACAAGAACCTATGTCTTACCAAGTAATTTCTTTCTCTCTCCTCAGACCAACACGGTGCCCCACAGTAGCAGGACTGTTCCCCAGAGACAATGCAGAAGATGAGTGGAGCCCCTCAGAGCAACAAGTCAAGCAACATGGGAAGTAACCTGATTGCAGGTGGACACAAAGAGATGGGTGGGGGTGGGAGTAATTTCATAGCTGGAGTCTTCACCCAGGCCATGAATAAGAAGATGAGTATCTACGATGCCATGATGAGGGGGCTCCTGACACCAGGTACGGCCCTGGTGCTGCTGGAGGCACAGGCTGCTTCAGGGTTCCTCACTGACCCCGTGAAGAATGAGAAGCTATCAGTGAAAGAGGCACTGACTGCAGGACTCATAGGCAGAGATTTTTATGAGAAGCTGCTGTCGGCAGAGGGAGCCGTGACAGGATACACAGAACCATACACAGGACACAAGATCTCCCTCTTCCAGGCCATGAAGAAAGAGTTCATTGTGAAGGAGCATGCTATCCGCCTGCTTGAGGCCCAGATCGCCACCGGCGGCATCATCGACCCCGTGTACTGCCACCGTGTCCCTGTGGAGGTGGCCTACCAGCGTGGCTACTTTGACCAGGAGATGTGCCAGTTTCTTTGTAATCCCAAGAATCAAACAAGAAGTTGCTTTGACCCCAACACACACGAGAACCTCACTTATACACAGCTCCTCCGCCGCTGCGTGCCCGACCCAGACACGGGGCTGCTCATGCTCCACGTGATGGACAAGGGCTCCGTGCTCTACCAGCTGAACAAGGACGCCCGGAAAGCCCTGCAGGCCGCCTGCACCACCGTCAGCGTGGGGCTCTTCCAGGGCCAGAGTGTCACTGTCTGGGAGCTCCTCTTCTCCCGTTACGTCCCTGATCACCAGAGAGAGGAGCTGCTGAGGAAATACAAGGTGGGGACGGTGACCATCCCGGAGATGATCACCATCCTCACCACCACCATCACCAGGGCAGAAATGGAAAATGGGGATCTGACCTCATCCACAGTTATACCCAACAACGAGGTGGGAGCATCACAGCCTGTTCAGGATACGCACTCCCAGGAGCAACAATTGAGAAAGTCCTTAAAGTCTGCAACCATCTATGTCACTGCTGGTGAGTTCCAGGGGCAAAACATTTCCTTGTTGGATCTGCTCTTTTCAAAATACATCCCTCAAGGGAAGCGGCAGCAGCTGCTGGAGCTGTACAGAGCAGGGATACTGACCACAGAACAGGTGGCTACTGTGGTCACCACCATCATAAACAGAACAGAAGCTGCAAATGCTGCGCTCATGGCAAATGCCCGAAGTCCACACAAGGCAGTGACAAGGGCAGAGGAAAATGGAGATGATTTTTCAACACAAGATGCACAACTAGATAACATCTTGAAGTCTACCACCATTGATGTGCCAGCTGGTGAGTCGCAGGGAAGGCAGGTCTCTGTGTGGGACCTGCTCTTCTCTGACTACATCCCTGAGGAGAAAAGGCAGGAGCTTCTGGAGCTGTACCGTGAAAGGGTATTAACTCTGGAGCAGATGATAACTGTTGTCACCACTGTCATTAAGAAAAAAGAATCTACAAGCAGAAAATTCCTAACTGCAGTCAAGACTTCCAACAAGGACACTGTGTCAGCAGCAGGAGAGAAGGATGCCGACTCCCCCAAAGAAGAACCATGGGAAACAGCCTTGAAAACGACAGCTGTCAACATGGAGGTCGGAGAGTTTCGGGGCCACAAGGTCTCTGTGTGGGACCTGCTCCACTCCAAGTATATCCCCGAGGAGAACAGAAAGGAGCTGCTGGAGCTGTACCAGGCAGGAGAGTTAACGCTTGATCAGGTGAAAACCGTTGTCAGCACTATTGTAACCAAGGCAGAAGCAGCGAGGGCAGAGCAATTGGCAAATGCAAGTAGTCCAAGAGCAGAGTCGACAGTTGCAGAAGCTGAGCACACCCACCTGCAGGAGGACAGGACCTGGGAAGAGACCCTGAAGTCCACCACAGTTGAGATGTCAATGGATGAGTTCCAGGGGAGGCAGGTTTCTGTGTGGGACCTGCTCTTCTCCCACTACATCCCTGAGGAGAAAAGGCAGGAGCTCCTGGAGCTGTACCGTGCAGGGACACTCACCATTCAGGAACTGGTCAGCACCACCACCAGCACTGTGACAGACAGCAAAGAAAGGCACCTTGCAACCCTTCCCCAACAGACAGTGGATCTCCTCCAGTCCGAGGGCTCCTACATTACTTTTGGCCAGTTCCAGGAGCAGAGGGTGTCAGTGTGGGAGCTCCTCTCCACAAAGCAAGTCTCTGAGTACAAACGAGAGGCACATCTCGACACTTATGGCACAGGAGGGCTGACTGTGAACAAGATCACCATCACCACCACCGTCATCACAGGCCCACAGCGTAAGAAGAGACACCATTAGGACCACTAGCACCACCCACCCCAGAGGAGGAGTGATCTCTGCCTCCTGGGGCAGGCATGGCCTGGGCACTCGTGAGAGTTTGCTCTCCACATAACTCAGTTATGGGCAGGAAAGAGCAGTGACAAACCTGTGTGTGGAATGGGGCGGGTACCTGGTTAAACTCTTTGCTCTCTCAACTACTACTTTGCTGAGATTTCTTTTGCCCAACAGAGCTTTCCTGGAGGGGTTCTGAGGAGGGTCCAGGAAGGCTTGTGACTCTGGCTTTCTGCCATGCACACACAGGCACTGACAAAGAACAGGAAAATGTGGGGCAGGACCCAAATCAGATGGGTTGGAGACTGCGACAAATGGGAGCAGGCAGAAACCCCAGTGCAGGAGCTGTGTGCAGCACAACTGGCAGCCCCAGAAGAGCCACAGAGGGACAGACAA